CCCCATCGACATAAACAAATGACAACCAGTAAAAACTTGACATCTCAGACATATCTCTACAGGACAAAAATATTTTGTGAAAAACGCAGAAAATGTTTTGTACATCCAGAGTTGGTGTATGAAATGGGAATCCATCACATAAGTAGAAACATCGAGTTGGGACATGAAAAAATAGCTGTTGAGCCAAGTACTGCCATACTGCATCATTATAGACAATGTGTCTCAGCGTTTAAATTTTCTTGCCCAAGGGATCGGATATTTGATAAGACCGCATTAAGACTTGGTGCTCAGCTTCAGCAAAATCATGCAATAGTCATGCAAGCTTTAGGTCGAAATTGAAATGCCATACTATCAAGATACTAGTATATTTGTGAGTAGCTATTAAATATGGTATCATAATGGTGTTGATTGTGAATTAAATGCATTTTTATTGAAAATTCAATAATAAAGTCACCTCTGCTAAAATGAGTTGTTGATTTTTCCTGCTAATATTAATTGACAGGTTTGTAATAAATATAATTATTAATTTAAACACTCAAACATGCACCAGTCATGTCTTAATGTTCATTTGCTGCAGTAAAGTGAAGTGTGCATGGTGACGGGAGAAATTCTGTATTATTATCTATTAAAAACAAGGCGTGAATCTTGAATCTAGTTTAGGTTGTTTAATTAACAAAGATTTCAGTGTACATCAAATAATAAGCTTTACCACAGATGGTATAAACCTACTGATATTCAAGATTCTAAAGGCTCAGGATGGAGTGACAGTGGCCATGTCAGATATTTTGCTTCTTACAAAACACAAAAATGTTCAATTTCTTTAATTATTATGCTATATCCATTTTTATAAAAAGTTCCTCAATTTTTTCTGATCAGTTTTTGTGACAAGTATCTTATTTGAATTGCTGTTTCAAATTAGACAGATATGTCATTAATCAAAATACTAAATGACTGTTCCTGAGACAAGATTGAGATCCATCTCTGAAATGGACTTAGAAAGATGTCTTTTCTGTCTGCAGTGGAATTGCTTGAAGAATTGATTATGATAAACAACTGATAAAGTGCATATCTTTTAAAGATACCCAGATGAGCCCCAAGCAGAAGACTTTTAGCCAACCTTCATGTTGTCACGGCAGCTGGTGTGATGTGCAAAAACCTGCACATTTCAAATGGAAGTTTTGTTATCTGTTTTCATGAAAAGAAATCATAATCTGTAATGGTAAACTGAATTTTGTAAAATTAGCTATCCCCTTGCCTTCCTGTTCCTCATTCCCAAAATAATGTGTGTTCAGAGGTTTTCCCATGAATGTTTCATTTAATGATTGATACTGGCTGTCAGATATTTAAAAGTGTAGCAACATTGCCCTATTTTGAATGATTGCGATGGCTTCTATGGGGAATTGCCACCCTTTATCAAGATCATGAAGTCATTCTTCTTTCTTTTTGCTTTGGGATTGAGCAGGATCAGCTTGGGGCAGCTGGTATACCTGGTGCAAAAGAAACAGAAAAAGTGACCTTAAACTCTTCATAAAACTTATATATGTAATTATGACCAACATTAAGCCCTTAGCCAGGGGGTTCATGGGGGGGGGGAGTCAAAAGAACTGCCCTTTTTGTCAGAAAAAGGTCCATTCTGGGTAAAATTTGATCTAGGTACACAAAGGTTTCATTTGGAAGAAAAACTCCCCTTTTGAAATTGGTGGATACAGGCTGAACATACAGGTGCTTTTGGGGAATGGATTTTAATAATAAACCTTCAGATAATCCAGTGATATCAGTCAGGAATATTCTGTTTTGTCAAACTCACGAGACCTGTAAGAGAATTATCATTTAGTACATCTGCCTTGGGCTGGGGTGGAGTTGCTGTAGAATAAATGTGCATCTTGGTATACCTCACCAAAATAAACAGATAAATTCTTTCTTTCTAAAAATGTCATAATTTGACTATCATACAGATGTCTTTAAGCCCTTTAAATATGTTTCATAATGTCAAACTCCAATACCCATTGACCTGAGGCACTACCCTGGGGTAGGGCACATGGAGCTGTAGGGGTGTGGACCATTGGTTGGGAATTTAGGTGTAGCTCCCCAACATAAATAGATTAAATCATTCTGGCTTACTTTTCCTAAAATGTCATAAATTTAACCATCAAGTAGATACTATTAGAGAAAAAACCTTGGAGGTATACATTTTATTATGTCAAAATCATGAGACCCATAAAAAGACCATTGAACTATGCACTTAATTCAAAAACAAGGCTATTGGATCATTTTTCTTGAGGCTACAAAGTGTTTTGGTGAACTTCCAATTTTTCATTCATGTGGTGAGCACCTTAAAATTGGGGCCTAGACAAGCTCTCCAACATAAATAGATTAAATCATTCTGGCTTACTTTTCCTAAAATGTCATAAATTTAACCATCAAGTAGATACCTTTAGAGAAAAAAACCTTGGAATTATGCATTTTAGTATGTCAAAATCATGAGACCCATAAAAAGACCATTGAACTATGCACTTAATTCAAAAACAAAACTATTGGATCATTTTTGTTGGGGCTACAAAGTGTTTTGGTGAACTTCCAATTTTTCATTCATGTGGTGAGCACCTTAAAATCTGGGCCTAGACAAGCTACAGCACATGATCTTTTTCTCTCTTTAGTGAAATCGCCTTTCTGTAATACAGTTATGTAGTCCCATTGATTCTTAATAACTTTACTCTTAATAGGTTTTTGTGCATCCAATGCTGTAGGGCAATTGGCCTGAGGCGGCAAGGAAAGAATAATGGTACCAGAAAGGTTACAATCACATGGTGGTTGTGGCTTTTGTATTTCTTTTCTGTCCTCCACTTAAAGTACCAGTGTTACATTGTCAAAGGTGTAATGTGCTCTTTATTCCAATATTGCCCTATAACACATGATGGTCAGTCTTTATTTTGCTTACTCTTTAACTCATTCCCTCTGTTATTTTTCTGTATTGTCTACTGTGGCGGTCAATCTGACCTTTCAGTCTTTATCAGTTGATTCACACTTCATTTGTGGCGATTTGAATGTCCAAGAAAGTGTGTCAGGTATAACTGACTTGCTGGGTAGTAAAGGTGTAATAGATGTACTGGTATATAGGCATATTGGCATCAGTTTTGCTCTAGATTATTTACACACTGGTCAGACCTGCTTTGGCCACCCACTCTGCCAGGATTGGAACTGTATGTATTATAATGCACCTTATCCATTGACAAAGATCTTGCTTGGAAGTCCAAGGTGTTTTTTATTTATTTATTTATTTATTTATTTATTTATTTTAATATTATTATTATTTTGCCTTAGGGCACAGTTCCTTCAGTACTAGCACATGTGTGTTTTGCTATTTGTGCATGGAAAAGTTGTTTAAAATAGAAGTACCGTATGGTTGCAGAAGTGATTTTGCTTTCATTCGAGAGTTATCACGAAACGTAACCTGCATATTGTTATTACTAGTATTAGAAATGCATTTTAACTTAATTTTTTTGCCACAAAGGCCACCAGATAGTTTCAAATAGTATAACCTAGATAAATACCAAAGGACATTGTTCCATATTACTCCAAAAATGATATTTGAACAGATTTTTCTGCCTTCTTTCTGTCCTTTATATAAACTGGGGCAGATAGGTAGCTAGGTCAGATAAATAGATCAAATTTATGACCAAAAATTTGAAGAAGGTGCAGTTTAAATGAACCTTTTATGGCTATGGAGTGATTAATCCAGTTTATCCTTAGGCACTTTGGATTTATCTTTGGGATTCAGCAAACATTTGTAAATGTGAACCTTTACAATCATAAGCAGTTGCAAGAAGGATTAGATTCAGCTATTTAAGGGTTGGAAATCTTTTATTAAAGTTGTGAAGTGAGTGTAGATTCCCTGAGACACACACAATCGTGTAAACCACTGCTACTGTTTTTTATATGTCTCAAATAAAGATACCAAAAGATAAACCAAATTAATCACTCAGTCAGCCAAAAAAAGCTTTTAATGACGCCTTTCTCAATTTCTGGTCGTAAGCTCAACCTCTTTATGTATCATTCCAGTTTGTAAAAATCTGCCAAATGATGTAGTAAATCATGTATGATGTATAACTGCTGTTAATGCTATGGATAAACTACTGACTGTTGGCAGATTTCCACAGTTAATTTTGGAGCTAAAAATATTGTTGGCCCAGGCAGCCCCCAGGATCCCATGCCATACTGTATATTATGACTATTTCATTAAATGGCAGTCTCATCCCTGTATAATACAATTTTTATAAATTAACTACATTTTTAGACATACTTACTTAATTACTTGAATTGGGTCAGCACATCCATCTGTCATTTTGATAAGTTGACTTTTTTATCCATTCAAGCTTAACGTTCAGTCCGGTTCAGAAATTCCTCAAAGACAGACAATATTAGATTACTTAGTGATTAGATGCCCTTGTGAATAGATGTATCTATGTGTCAATTCAATAACCTTTTCAGCTGCTCTGTCAAAGCTTTCAGAAGTCGTAACAACAGATTGGGAAAGAAGTGATGGATATGTTAGTGTCATATCATTCCTATTACCAGTGGTTATATTGCCTGGTATAGATGTAGAAAAGGATGGGAGATGGAAAAATATCTCCTGAATATAGGAGAGTGGTTCCTAAGAGAGCTGACTACATTTCAGTTCTCATTCCCAGTGAAACTTTCATTATATGTGGATGGGGACTCTCCCTGAATGCTGTTAAATTAACAGATTACCACGCCTCCAGTGTTGAGTAGAATACAGAAAAGTTAGTGATTATATGAGTACATTGGGGAAAAAAGGAGGCGTGTTAATCTGTTCATCTGAGCGTGGATCCCCTGGGAATTGGATCGAGCTACATAGAATGATAGTTTCATGGGGAATAAGCCCTTAGTACCCACACAATCACCGTACGCAGTCTATCTATTTTGTTAAACCCTCGCTGTTATAATCTCCCTGCTACTTGATTTTCTGTTGCATGTTTCAGATAACTTGACAGACTAATGTGACACAGAGGATCAATACACTGGGCAGTCATTTTTTAACACGTTTCCTGGACATCCTAGTAATGAGGAAGAATTGGCAATGGGAAGCTTGAAGCAGACAGTTTGAGGTTCAGCGTTCTAAGCTGATTAATTGGGTGACAGTCAACCTACACTATAGGGCAACATAGCAGTGCTTGATTAGAAAACCACCATGAATTTATGTCCCTGCTAAAGGTTGAAATGGAAGGTTCCACAGATACCTAAGGTAACGGTGAGCCATTAATTAGGAGATATGTTTGTGTTCAGAGTTATGACTTTATATTCCATATTTTTAGGGGAAAATAGCAGTTTTCTTGAGGTTTAATTAAGAAATATGTGGTTGGTTTTAGCATTGGAGTGTTTCATATAGTTCTTATCGCAGTCAGGTACACTGGAAAATGTTTTCCTGTTGTGGTGGTTCTTCCACATTCCTGCCACATAGAGGCCATTCAGAATGAGAAGAGCTGAGTGCTAGCTGGGCCTCAACCTAAATATGGCGAACCTACATGAAAGGAAGACCGCTTTATCCTCTGATGGTCTCTCTCTGCCTCTCACATGGCTCCCTACGCATCGTCCCTCAACCGGTTAAATTGAGCCAATATTTAATTAAGTACTGTGCCCCTGCAGGGATGACGCGTGGGGAGGTGTGTGAGAGGTGGAGAGACCATGTCCTAGCTAGAACTCGGCTCTTCTCATTCTGAATGGTCCCTGACATTTCTGCCACATATAAGCCTAGCTACCACAGCATTTCCTTGATACACTATCTCACTAGATCATAACTAAGTAATATATTGTCACAGCATGACAGAGATTCTCAGAGGTCTCCTGGAATATAAGTGATTTCTGCTTTCACAGCTGTGCCTAGTGATTGGTTGTAGTGTAGGTTCTGTCAATTCCATGCAGTAAATAAGTAACCATTTGATAAGCCTGGACAGCATTCATGTAGTTGCTATAATCCAGGATCCTAGGTATGTGTATATATATCTTAATACAAATGTTGGGTCTGAGATGTTATTTAGAATCGTTCAATTCACTGGCAGTATATGTATTTATTGCATGTGTTTAGATAAATATTGTCAGTGGGGTTGATAAAACTGCATAGAACTTTAGTTTTGTGCTGTTACTGGTTACTAGTACATGTACTAGTATGAGTTTGAAAAAATCACAGTTTGTTTTCTTTTATCATATCTGTAATCCCATTTTCTTCCTTTCAGGCAGAGTACCATATACGAAAAGATGTAGAAGTTGCACCAAAACCTCTTAAATGCTTGAGAAATGTTTCAGATGAAGAATTCTGCCTGTTACTAGATACAAGCTAATCGAGGGGGAAAAGGTTTCATCAGACCATGGGCTGTGGACCCTCAAAATCTGGAGAATCAGATATGGGAAAATCTGAAAAATGTGAGTAATTGGTTATTTTACATTATTGACCACTTTACCTGTATCAGGCTATCCCCCCCCCACACACACACACACCCAGCACAATCCCCAGGGGAGTGCCTCTTGCTCAATCCCCTACCGTTCAAACAACTCCCTCTGCATCAAACTATTTCCCACCCAAAGCTATTTTGATATTTGGATCCACACTTTTCTGAACAGTTTCGTATAGATCTCATCTAGACATCTTCACTGCTTATTGGTGATGTTATTCTGACTTAAAATTGGTTCACATGTTAGTCATTTTAAGGTTTATTATACTTTCTAGTGGCAAGTATGATGCTGATCGAAGAAAATTAATTTTTTAGAGATGCATCAACCATGCTGATTTTCATTCTAAAAGGGTTAAGTACAGTAGATTGAAGAAAACTGATTGATTTTGTTTCTCAGTGATTTACCAGACACTTACTTTTACAGTAAAACACAAAGGGTCATATGGGAAAAAAATTCAAGAATTACTGTCTGTCAAAAAAGAAGACAAAAAATAGATTGACTTATTATTTAATATTTTCATGAATAACCAGATATGCTGAGGGATAGAAGTTAAGTTGAAATGAGATTGAAGTATGATTTGATTCAATTTGTTTAAATTACCTCTCACACATGGTGACGCCTGTGTGAATGAAAAAGTTCAGAGCAGCTGCAGCCTGCAGTAATGACATACTATTAAATGAAAGAAGATTGTTTTGATTATTTTCCTCATTGACTTATCACAAATGACATTGTGCAATCTAAAATTGCACAATTTTAGAAAATCCATTTCAAGAAATCACGAAATGTTGTGGATATAATTGATTTTTTTGTATGATTTATCAGGCATGCAGAATTTCATAAGGTTATGCAATTAAGAAGAATTACTTAGGGAAATAAGTCAGATGATGAATTTCTTTAAGTGATTGATTGTGCAGATCTGCAGCTGCTGTTCATGATTTGGAATCCTACATATTTCTGGCACTATAAAATAAGCCGATAAATAGAATAGCATAATAAGGGATGTCAATTGAAGGCACATGTATCTGCCATGTGTGCTTGAGTACATACATACACGTACATGTGCCCTTTTTGCATTTACCTCGAGTATGCTATTTGATAACAAGTTCAGTTAATATTATTGGTTATTTTCCCGTTCAAATCTATTCCTTTTCTTGCATTCTATCTGTTTTCTGATACTCGTGCAAGTATTTCTATTCATAGTGAAAGAAAAATAAAGAATGATAAAAAAGCCTCTCATATATTACTGGAAACTACATGATTGATTGTGAGTTAAACAAACTATCTGTGATCCGTCAATTATTTCTGTCCTGATAGTAAAATAACCTAGTAGTATTCTAGCACTCAGTCTGGCCATGTCAGTTGTGTTGATGGTTTCATGATGAGTTCTTGCTCAGTACATTTCTGAGATTGGATTTTTTCAATATCCATGCCCTTCATTTCCTTTTTTTCACTCGCTGCCAATCTTATTTCTTTACGTTGGGGCTTGTGAATGAATTTAAATGAATTTAAATTAATTGCTTTTGTGTGCCGGGGGAGAGGGGATACTGTAACTGAAACTCAAATATGAGCAATAGACAGAAATAGCCACTGTTACCTTTAGTGTAATCAAGACAGTTATAATTGCTTCTAGTGTTGAGCTTTGTCCATGAGATCAAGATGTTTTTCCAATCTCTTTCTTCATGATTGAACTGACAGAGATTCCTCCAGCAGGCATTAGCGCAAGCAGTGTTCAGTAGTTTAATAAGATATCTGCAGTGGTTATCATGACACACGCATGGATGGCTAGATCATGCCAGGCCTTCAGCATGCAATTTCAACGAAAGGTTATTTTTCTGAAAAAGTGGATCTTTCTCCCCCTTAAGTTGATCCATGAGAAGTAGTGTAAATCTAAATCAAATTTTGATTAATACCAAACCTTTTATGGCCAAAATGGGGGAGGTGCGTGTGTGTGTGTGTGTATGTGTGTGTGTGCGTGCATGGGAATGAGTGCGTTTATGTGTGAAGGTGGGGCCAGTGCTCTTTACATGCAGATCTTGGATCAATGTTTTCTTACTTGCAGTGATGAAGGCGGCCCTGCTGATACAGAAATGGTACCGCCGCTACTCTGCACGCCTTGAAGCACGTAGAATTTCTGCATGGAAGATTTATCAGTCTATTGAATATGCAGGAGAGCAAGATCAACTGAAGGTAAAAAATATATATGTGGCGTGAGGTGCATGTTATACATTTTGTATATATGAGAAGTGTGGATTTATACCTAAGGCTTAATATATTCCTAATAGACAGTAACTGAGTTGAATATAAAGGAATAAAAGGAACACATATAGAGAACTGTTTCCAGATACAACTCTAGCTATTATTTATATTTTGATTAACTTAAAGGTGATATTTTTCTCTCATCAGACTCTATCTGTTATTTATTTTTTAATATGACGATATTTTTTTCTCTCACCTATCACTTAGCTATACAACTTCTTCAACAACATGCTGGCTTTCCTGCCTCCAGACCAGAACTCTAACCAGCACTTGTCCAGTGTGATCACAGCTAGATTTACAGCAGGAGGTGAGTATACACATGCAATATGGTAATGACTCGATCTTTTCACTAGGCAAAAATTATCAAACTTTAAGATACATCATTTTAAAACTGTAAATATTATATTTTTGTATAGCATATGTAGTGCTTTTAATGCATAGAATAGAACTATCAGTTAGTCTGCTTTTAAATTTTGTTGCTACCACTCAGTAAGATTGCTTTTATTTCAAGAAATAAATACTTAAAAAATACAGTATCTGTAAAATTCACAGTTTCCCCCATTGAAAAAATAGTAATTACCATTTTCTCCCAGGTGAAGATAATCATTTGGTCTCTATTCTCATCATAAATGCAATGAGAGATGTATCGTATGTGGGGACCATTCCCAGACCCTGTCATACTAACTGTGGGTGACCAGGGTCGATCCATCTCCAAGGGGTTTCCTGCTAAATTACTTTTAGCTTAAGTGGCTTAGATGTCTGTCATGCCTACTGAAGCCGATAAGGGGTAATTAATTATCCTTTTGCAGCTTCAGTAGGCGTGCCAAATATCTTAGCTGATTAAGCTGAAAACAATTTAGAGAGAAAACCCTTGGGGATGGATTGATCATGTTAGATCCATCTAGTATGAAAACCAAGTCTTGGTCTTCATTGCATGCTCCTCAGAACTCTTTATTCTCTTGATCCACCTTTTCCAGAAAATGACGTCTGAACCTCAGGGTTTCCTTTAAATGGACTTGACTAAAATTCTGTCCTCAGTATTGACCTCAAAATGCCTGCCATTCTGATAGCAGCCGTGTGCACTACCATGCGTCACCCTATTAATTAAGTGAAAGACTAGAGAAGAATATCTGACAGTTTTGAGAACTGCTGAATACAAAATGCAAGATATACGTCTGTGGCATGTTAAAGAATATAACTCATTTCTCAAATGAATTCCATTATCCCTTCATTTCAGTGTTCAAATTTGTGGCCAGCATATTGATACAAATTAAAAAAGCACTTGTCAATCCTTTGAAATGGAAGTGTGGTCCCTTGGGGTGTATAGTGTGGTGACAGGCAAACACAAAGGGATTGTATTTTTGCTGAAAGGAAAGGATTAATGAATGCTCATTATTTGTCTCCATTTTTTCATTAGACAATAATTTTGTAAGCGGCAGTCATGTGTCAGACACTTGTTTCCAGCTTGACATCTTGAAATGATTATTTTGTACGTAATTGATTTAAAGCAGACTTGTGTGTCAAATTAACCTTTGTTTTCCTAGGAATTGATTTACTGATAACTGACACAGTGTATGTATGCTTCTGAATAAAAAGAGAGACTTTTTCTGTTTAGCCCAGAGGTAACTCAATCAGATTAAGTATGGAGAAGAGGAAATTTGTTTATGACCGAGATAAATGTTGACGGATATCTTTTCTTTGATAATATTGGACTGCAGTTGTGATCTTACAATCTGGTCAAGTAATTTCCTGTGGAATTTCCCTTGCATTTGTCACTCTGAAATAGGCACTTAGAAATTGAAATGCTGTCCAATAATGCCATCTTCAAACCCCATTTGTCTACCAGCTAAGAGACAGTTCAGTTCTATAGATTTGTCAAAACTGGCACCATTCCAGTCCTTCAAAAAATGCTGTGTATATTTTTTATTATTTCTTGATCATTTATCACTATTTTGTTGTATGTAGTTGAAGTTAATGTTTTTATATGGACATGCATGTAATTAATGATTATTTTAAAAGAAAAAAATAATTGTTGCAGTATGTTATTAGTATCTTCTTTCTGCAAGTGTCCTAATCCCAAATTTCCTGTGCATAGCTTTCATTGTGTGTGTGTGTGTGTGTGTGTGTGTATGTGTGTGTGTGTGCGTGCATGTGTTTGCCATAGTTTGGGTGTCATTCAGCTCATGTTTAAATTACAAGTGTTTCATATGTTTGCAGCATTCAATCATTTTTAATGCATTAATTTTTTTATCATCCTATCATTGAAATTGGTTTCTCTTTCATGAGGCACAGCAGTTACTAGAACTGAGTCAGAACAGGAGCTTCTGAAGCACACAGATTACACCACTATTCGTGTGACCTCCTCCTATAAAGGTCCCAGATTGACATTTCCTCTCTCCAGGTACCAACTCACAACATTGGTGGAAGGATTCAAGAGAGGGAAGGTGAGTATGTTAATAAAGAAGTGAGGTTTTTATATCAGTCATGATTTGCTATTACAGGTACTAAAGGTGGTAAGCAGATACTGATTTGAGCCATTCCTGTTTATGTCATGTACATAGTTCAAATATAAAAATATTAACTGACATTTTGTTTGATAAAGCCAAAACAAATCTTGTATTACCTGAATACAGGAAAAACACATTTTTCTCTTGAGTAAGACTGGTTTTTGTATCATCTTTGAGTAAGAGGCAATGAAAAACCCATAATATAACCGTAATAAAATGAAAAATTGTTTACATTACAGTACAAAATTAATGTAGATGATATTGTCAAACTGATGATTAATGCTATCTTTGTAGAGATGGAGGAAATGAAAGAGTGGGGAAGTAATTATTTCATCTTGCAACTGAATTATTAACTGTCTGTTTCCCCTGTAGACTCTACATGCCAGATTTCTGCTAGAGCTGTTACACAACACAAGACAATTGTTAAAAACAAAGGCTAATGTCAACGTAGTAAACCTGAACATCACGAAGCAGCTGACAATATGTGGAGATCTCCATGGAAAGATTGATGATTTGTTTACTATTTTCTACAAGGTGATTGATGGGAGGTTATTTTGTTTTAAGTTTGCCTTTTGAGGGAATTTATCAAGCAGACATTGATAATTTAATTTAGACCTTAGGCTACAAGCATGTTTCCAAATTAAAAATGATAATCAGTGTTATTCAAACATCCAATTAAAAAATTACTTTGTAGTGTGATTTTTTTTTTTTTTTTTTTTTTTTTTTTGAAAGGGTATATCCTGGAATATGGAGAATAGATTGTTCTTTTATCATATTTTATGTTCTCCAAGTATTGCATACATAGAATAAACACTTTTCATGTGACTGAGTATCATATTGCAGTTCACTTCTTTCAGAATGGCCTTCCTGGCCCAGATAATCCGTACATATTCAACGGAGATTTTGTGGACCGGGGCAACCACTCCGTGGAGGTAGCTGCTCTGTTGTTTGCCTGTCTCCTACTTTTTCCTAATGATGTCCACATCAACCGAGGGAACCACGAGGACAGCGTCATGAACATGAGGTCTTTTTATGTTATTTTATTTTGTACTTATTTCAGTTTTGAATTTTTGTTATTTTATCATGAGTTATTGGAAGTCACAATCCCTTTATTAGTATAATTTTATGTTGTTATGATATGTATGGCATTCATGTAGGCATGTATATTACTTCTGTTGTTGCAATTTTACATACTTTTTAGTAACAGTTATATGTAAACTTTTTAATACTGTCATACTTATTTAACCTCTTCACCCCATGAGGACATAGGGTGACAGTCTAAACCCACTACTGAACACTGCCTCTTGTTTTTGCTCATGCTTCACTCCAAGAGAAGCTCTGAACTTTAAATATTATTATTGTTCTTAAGCTAATAAGTGATGTTAAAAGGCGTCTACCTGATCCTTGACTCTGAGTTCACATCACAATGTAGATATTTGTCTTTTTTTATTTCCAGATATGGTTTTATGAAAGAGGTGCTCAACAAATATAAAGACCATGGAACGAAAGTCTTCACATTGTTTGAGGAGGTTTTCAGTTGGCTTCCCCTCGCCACCATGATTGACAAGAAGATATTTGTTGTTCATGGAGGAATTTCAGACAATACTACTTTATTCTCCCTGGAAACCTTAGACAGACACAAGGTAATCTGAAATACGTGTAGCAGTACATTTTAACCAAGCAACACTTTGAACCAAATCCTTAGAATTCACTTCTAAATGTTCGCTCACAATAAAAAACAAAAATAAGGCCCAAATTAGAACCTGTGACAAAAATTGCTAGCATAAAGCCCAAGGTTTTCTGTAGGATCCAAATGGGTAAAAATTGGGGTGGGGTCATGGGTCCATGTGGATCACATATGCTTCTTAAAAATCTAAGTGCCAAACTGGACACATACATGTACCATAAGTCCAGTCAGGATTAATGTACCCAGTTTGACTGATGTGGTACCCATGGCTGCCCAGTGTACCAGTAGTCCAGTGGCCCTCCCTGATGCCAGTTCAGTCTTTCCTTACATCAGGACCCTCTTTCATCAACACTGGATAGCGCTTTCCAATGGGTAACACTATCCACTGCTCAAAGATCTTACCACTGCTTAGATTGTCTTAACAGGATTGATCCATCTCCAAGGGGTTTCTCACAAAATTGTTTAAGGCTTAAGCAGTTTAGATGTCTGGCACTAAATGATAATTTCCCCCTAGCAGCTTTAGTAGAGGTGACAGACGTCTAAGCGGCTTAAGTTGATTGCAATTTAGCAAGAATCCCCTCAGAGTTAGATCGATCCACAGTCAGTATGATAGGGTCTGGGAATCGTCCCTAAATATTTCCTCAAGTGGGTAGTGTTATCCATTTTATCATCAATGATTGAGAAACTTGACTATGTAGTGCAGTCTGTTATTATATTATATCTGTTACATTCTTTATTCATTTTCTAGTATATCTCTGTGCTCAAGCCACCTTACCAGATAGAGGGAGGCAATTCAGAGGCTAACGACTCAGGAAAACCAAAGATGTCAGAAATTATAGAATGGAAGCAGGTAAAAGTGGCTATGTTGCTGGGCATTCCTGTGCAAAACAACTACCCATTGAATGCAACTTTTGACCAGGGCTGGTCAAGCCTAAGGGTGCCCACAGGCCTTGGTAAAATTTTCAAAACAGATTTCTAAAAAGATTTTTCCTTTGAGATATAAGCACAAGCTACATGTACCTAATATCCCTAGGACAGTTCAGTATCTGCAACAAGAATCCTATAAAGTGTCCATTGAAGTGATTGGCTACATGTGATACATTGTAACAATTTTTGATCGTGAGATATTTTTTGAATGAACATCATAATTATCGATAACAGTATTTTAAATTCCAGACAGTGAATTTTTTTGTATTGAAATACAACAGTAGACTACAGTATAGCATCAGTCATTGGTGATAAATTTGCACCTCATTTAGTTTAGCATCATTTTTAATGATGAAAAGAAACATATGCCAGCCTTGTTGCCTTGGAAACTTTAAAAACTATTTCATATTTCTAGGTTTTGGACATTTTGTGGAGTGACCCAAAGACGCAGCTAGGTTGCTCACCCAATTCCTTCCGCGGGGGAGGGTGTTACTTTGGTGCTGATGTCACAGACAAGTTTCTGCGCAGTAACAACTTGAAGCTGATCATACGATCTCATGAATGTAAACGTGATGGGTATGAATACACACATTATAAACAGGTGATTGAATGTTGAATAGGAGTTTCATATATAGTGAGACTCTGGTTGTGATTGGTCTAAAAGACTTGAGGAAATTCATAAGTATGGTACTGTTATAAATCCATGATATTTTGTTGTTTGGCATACTTTATCACAGACAGTGCTGGCAATTTTCCTTGTCAAACTTTCAACTGATTAGTGAACATAATAATAAGATAATTTTGTGCATGGTTACACCTGCACTTACCTGTTTAGTAGAGTTCCTGAGGAAGACTGACAGCGTTAAATATGCCTTTTCTGACTTAAAATGGCTTTTATGTATGGTTTTTGAAGTACTGTTTTATTGTTTTAATTATTAAGTAAGAGTAGAGTTGCAGTTTTCCAGTTAATAAGTAGAACATTGACATGTGCAAGATGCATTTAGGATTTCTAATAAAGTGCCAAATCCTTCTTTACATATTTATTTATTTATTTATTTATGTCTCAGGTGCTAACAATCTTCTCTGCCTCCAACTATTACGAAGAGGGCAGCAACAAAGGAGCATACATCAAACTGGGCCAGGATCATAAACCAGAGTTTGTACAGTATATGACAACAAAAGCCAGCAGGGGCAGGAATATTTCCATCAGACAAAGGCAAGCCTAAGTTAGAGCTTTGAGCTTTATATAATAAAAAATAATTGCATTAGTAAGTGCATGACAGCAAGAGCTAGCAAAGGCAGAAATATTTCAATCAGACAAAGACAAATCACAGAGCTTTGCAGGGGCGGATCCAAAAATATTTTCTGACAGTCTTCCAAATTATCTTTGTCGATCCATCCTACATTTTTGACCGTCTTCCGACAGAAAAAATTAAATACCCCTCAATGTAAACTTGAAAATCTGACCGTCTTCCGGAAGACCCAGAAGACGGCCTAAATCCGCCCCTGCTTTGAGCTTAATGTAATATAATTTAATATAATACAACATGAGTGCATTTTGAATTGCATAGTATATCTAACACATTGTAGGTGTTACTGAAGTATCATGTGTAAAGATTACACTAAAGGAAATCTGGTTAATTGTAACCATATGTAGGATTCATAGAAAATACATACATTAAATGTATTTGCAAGTTTTTGTGTAAGATAGTAAAGTGGCCATGATAGTAGCCAGGATTGCAACAGATGTGAAGTGCACAACAGCCACAACATAATCCTTCTTTTATTTGCATGGTGTGTGTGTGTGTGTGTGTGTGTGTGTGTGTGTGTGAGAGAGAGAGAGAGAGAGAGAGAAAGAGAGAGAGAGTATAAATTTTATATTCTTATCAATTTTAATAAATATGTACATTAACACATTACAGGGTGGGTATTATAGAGGCCTCAGCAATACGAAACCTGAAGGAAAGAATCTTTGCCTCTGGTCTAGAACTAAAACAAGAGTTCCAGAAATTTGATCCAGAAAATACAGGTATTGTCTTATTTACGTATGAAAACACATTGCTTTGGAAAATTATAAGTAGACTTGTATATTGACTTGTTAGCTGGTTGGAAACAAAAAGTGGCTTAATTTTTCTTATCTTTTTCACTCTTACGCATACACATGTATCTTTACTTTGGCAGATTTTTCTCTAGCAAAAATTTCAATAGGAAATTGGTCCAAAATCCTACAGGTCATTGAGACATACATATATGTCCTAGATAGGAATCCTGTAAGACTTCTAATGGAATTCTTATGGAGTCCCATAGAGTCTTGCAGGATTCTTATGGAGTCCCATAGAGTCTTGCAGGAATCCTATAGTCCCATAGAGTCTTGCAGGAATCCTATAGTCCCATAGAGTCTTGCAGGAATCCTATAGTCCCATAGAGTCTTGCAGGATTCCTATGGGACATCCCATAAAAAATTGCTGCAAGAGTTGTTTACAATTATGCAGGAAATTGTAATTTCTGCATTTAATTACGTAGTGATTTCTACACAGAGCAGAGGTACCGGTGACATGAAAGCCACAGAAATATTTAAAACTTTTGCATTGATCATTACAGCTGTTCACTAAAAAAAGCTGTGAAATATTCGGCGGTCAGTAAAATTTTCTGTCAATGTCTTTGGATTGCCATTGTTAAATTCTCCTTTTGGCAATGTTTTCAGGCAGACTTCACGTGATGGACTGGTGCTGTGCAATGGAGAATGTCTTACATATGGAGTTGCCATGGCGAACCCTCAGAGAAAAATTAGTGGACGTGGATGCTGACGGAAAGGTCATAGTGACCACCATGTTTGATTTTTGCCAGATCCACTGCAATTTTACTACTGCTGTAAGTCACTTTCATTTAAAAGGATTAACAGGAGACGTTTGTTGCAAAGCACTACAATTTACAGGTTTTTTCAGTTATTATCTGTTACTTGCCAGGAAGCAATCGATAGATCTCCAAATTCATAAGTGCCTTACAAGAATATTTCAAGAATATATTTAGTATTTGGCTAATTTTTTTTCAAAGATTTAGTTTCTGTATATGTAAGTCTGACAATTATAACAATATTCTCAGTGTTTCAGTTTGGCACAAACACTTTACAAAATAATTTAACTATTTTAACTTAAAGAGAAAGGCAGAAGTGACCTACGTAATACTGTGGGGATATTTAGTATAAAAATTGTATATAATGTCTGCCATAAATTTTATTTTATATTTTTACTTTATTATTCTGCAGCAAGAAGGCCCCAGTTTGACAGAAACTTTGTATAGAAATAAAGACAGCCTTGGAACCATATTTCGGATTATCGATAAAGACAATTCAGGTTTTTATTTTCATTGTTTATATTATTATTATAAGGTTAATCTGTGTTATTTTAAAGTTGATGTCAAATTATAAATCATTGATTCAGCTATTCCTATTCAAAATCAAACATGCCATTCAGAATAACAGATAGCACCTATTAATAATAAAAACGATACTGGTAAAAAAATAAATGACAAATTAATTTAACAAAATGAGTATAATTGAAGTGCACGCACAGGTCTGTTTAGCACTATTTACATATTTTCTACTTTATAGGCTCAATATCAATGCAAGAATTTGAAGATGCCTGCGATATTTTGAGTCGGCACATTGGTCATGAAATTTCCAAGGAGCAAGTCGTGGACTTGGCGCGGTGCCTTGACATCAACAAAGATGGCCAGATTGATTTTAACGAGTTCCTTGAAGCATTCCGATTGGTCGACCAGAGACCTCGAACTGATGAGGAACTGGTATCGTTGTCCTTGACGTCGATGTCAGACAAGGAGGCAGATTTGCTCTCAAGGTCTTCAGGAAGTACAGTGAATATCATTTAACTTGTTTTTGGATGTATTATATTTTATGATAATCATGTCATAATAAATTTACATGTATTTTTTTTTACATACTTTTCAATATTTTGAATCAAAGAATGATTTGTTATTAAGTTATCACCAGGAGATGTGGAAAACTGGTTATAGACTGCAAAATCATTGCTGCAATTTTAAGTATAAAAAGTAGCAAGTGCATGCATGGGAACATAAACTGACTTTATCTTTCTCTTTAATGGAAAAAAGTGCCATTTTATTAAGGCTTAGGAGCTGATGTAAAAAAATCAACGAAAGTGACTTATTAATTTTAGACATTTTGTATGATAGGGGCCTAAAAGAAACTTCAGAGGTAACATTCGTTTTTCAGCACAAGTATTTTTTAGTCACAGCTGTTTTTATTTTAAATTTTTATGCATTAATAAGGATAATATTATCTGTGAAAAGGGATGAGATTATTTTATTGAAGATTGATTTATGTTATCATATGTGTAGTATGAAAGGTTTAATTTTTTCAGTCTTATGTAGGTTCAACATTCAGCACAGATGTTCATGTGGAAATGCCTTTTAAGTATATTTGATATATATATATATATATATATATATATATATAGGGATAAGGAGGGTGTTTTGTGGAGTTAATGTTATGATGGTTGGTAAATACTGAGAAAGGATTTATTACATTTTTTTATTTTATATATCAGTTGTCTTCTATTGTCATGTCTAAATCGGTTTTAGTCAGACAGTCATTAACTTACAATTCTGTGTCTTCTTAAAATTTATATCGTTAGCAAATGAGAATTAATATTAAAAAAAAAAAACAAAGAAGCCTTGACAATCACTTTTAACTGTACATTTGTATTTTTCTGACTTTTATTCATGTTTCATCAATGATGCATAGTTCATACAAAGTTATGTATTAGCAGAGAAATAGCTAAATATTTAAGAAATATTTATTTACACCATGTCAATGTTACGATGGACAATCAATTAGAATAAAACCACAATGTTACAAATGGACACGTTTTCTGATTTAAAGTAACTAGAACAGGTCAACACAGCCCAGTAGTAAGGTCATGACAGCGCACATCGTGCCTAGACTAGAAATATTGATGGTTCCACTGCTCTTACCAGAGTGTTCTTTAGGCAGGTAAACATGCTTCTCAAGGTTCTTCTCGTCAGCGCCATTGTTCTTCTGGCCGGAACTTGGTGTCGTCGTGATTGGAGCGTTGCTGGGGCTGTTGTCACCACTGGGATTCCACTGGTTGTTAGGAAAGATGGGAGCGTTCATTAATGGTATACCTGCCTGGCGGTTCATCAGTGGTGGTATAGCAGCGAGGCCGTTAAGTGGTTGTGTGCCGGCGTTCATTGAGGGCTGCAGGCCAGGATTGCCTGGAGTTCTGTTACCAGGGCCTCCAACTGGGGTGAACTGAATTGGTATATTTCTCGTTCTGGAGACCCTCGCTAGCGCTTCAGTTCCTATACCATTGCAGCCATTTCCATTACACGTGCAAGCGAGATTCTCTATTCTTACGTCTTCGAAGCCTGACCGCTGTATCAGCTGTGATGGATGTCCATCTTTGCCTTGTGGAGCTCCATTGACACACTCGCTGGCGGTTCTGAGGGGAATGCAAGTTCTTTCTATTGTTTTGATGTTGATAAAGCGTCCGTCTTTCTGGAAAATTATGAAATAAGTTTATTTATTTATTTATTTATTTATTTATTTATTTATTGTACATTAATTGTAAGCAGTTGTCTGTAGTGATAGCTGTGCGGAGTATGGCTAACAGAAATTAACCCTTAATTCTATACGTTTTATACCTAAGTTCCTATCATCAACATGTTATATTTGCGATCAAATTATCGACGGTGGATATCAAGATTGTTTTTACCAGCTTACCGAGGACATATGAATCGTAGAATTGGTGATGCCACAAGAACCGCGGCAACTAACAGAAGGAATCGCTGGAACTGGCTGGGCGTCCTTGCAGGAAGTCTGGATCTGTGTGTTATGGCCAGCGTTCAGCAGCTGTTCCATTGAACTGTCACTACTGCGGTACTGCCTCCACTGGCACTTGTAACACTGTGTGACGGGGACTGAAAATTGATGACAATTCAGAAAGATGCAAACCCTCTACCCCCCCTCTCTCTCTCTCTCTCTCTCTCTCTCTCTCTCTCTCTCTCTCTCTCTCTGCAACTCACCTGGGGCCATTACAGGAAGATTCCTGGTGTTTTTATTGCACCCGTCGGTATTACACAGACAATGGCGACCGTGGACACTGGTGAAACGATTAATTGACCCGAATATATCTTTGAGGTAACTTTTGATCTTTGTATCGTCTGCCATGCTCAGTGTTTGACAACCGATATCGAGACTCCGTAAAGCGTTGCACCGGCGCAAGTGAAGTGTAAGTGTTATTGGTCGCCCTCCCTGAAAATAAAAAGTGAATAGTAAATTAATATAATTAATATTCAAATATTTCATTTCATTCAAATCTGCCATTGATTATTTGTTATTTAATTAATTAATTAATTTTAATTTATTATTTTATTATATTTATTCGTAATATTAATTGGTTGCTAATTATCACGTATACGTTTATTGATTGCGTCTCTTGCGTAACAGAATAATTGACTTAGTTTAAAAGTAACTGATCATGAGAGGAGCGGATGTAGTAAAAAGTGGTCTGGTTTAGACAAATTGGAAATTCATATCTTTCCTTTGCCTTGTCATTTGTATTCATCGCATTGCGTGCTGTGTGTAAGAATGAAAAAATTATTAAAAAACTGATTCTTTTACCCAATTACTCAAACCATTGATACCCACATTATCCATGGTCCCGACATTAGAGATCACATGCTCACATGAGCCCGGACACTGTATTTCACTGATATCTGCTGCACTGTCGTCTGCACACTTGGAGTTGAAGAAGCGGCTGAACGCAGACGCCATGGCGTTCTGTATCTCAGTATTGTTGGACGTGAGCAGGAGACAAGAACCGCAACGAATGCTTCGGACTAAAGTTTTAAAAATGTGAATAAACCTTTTAAAAAGAAGTTACCAGACTCTTGCAATGGTTTACAACAAGGGAGAGGGAGAGAGCGAGTTTCATGTAGCCGGGACCTTACAAGACCTGCTATGGAAATTATCTCGGTTTGCAAATTGTTGGAAGATTAAACGTACGACCTGTTGCCCTGCTTAACTGCGCCGCTGGTAAAAAAATACAACTGTTTGCACTTTGTGTTAAAGAAAAATTGACTTAAAGCTTAAACATAGAGAAATCCGGCGAAACGTTGAATGAATGCTTGCCTTAAGTAGCCAATCTATCTTTAATTATGAACAGTAATTACTGTTTTAACAGTAAAATTAAAATGCATTAGAGAGCCCTGTAGGGGAATTGGAGGGAGGGGGTCGAAATAAACTTCCTTTTGGCTGGAAAAGGTCAACTCTCAATCAAAATTTAATGCCACTTTTATCATAAAAGGGTAATAAGGTCCATTTGTCCAGAAAAAAACCTTACATGATATTGCTGGCCTGCTAGAACACATAAAAAAGAAAGCATTGCTTTTAGTGAGCATATATTAGCACCTTAAATATCATGCATACCGGCACCATTTAGTTAGGAAAGAAAACGAATACTGTAATTTCTGTCACACGAAGAAAATGTACATGATCATTAAGTGGGTTGCACCACTCTCGCCTCGCACTACCACTGCCCGTAATGACCACATTGCGGTTTATTTCACACCAAACACTAGAATTTGTACTTAGATGGAAAGATATACAGCCCCCAAATAGCACTTACGAACATTGCAATGCGTGACACTGGCTATTAACGAACCGTGGGTTGCAACTTTCTTCTTCAATTTGGTTTCGAAATGGGAAGGATCTCTATATGCCGTGGATACATTTTGTTGTTAATACTTCCTAAATTATCAAGTATTGGCAGAAAATTTTGTCTTACAAAGTATGACCAACTAAAAACATAAAAGATAAAAAGTTTTTTGCTGCACGTGCGTTACAACACAGCCCAAGTTTATGTGGAACAAACGTATGCTTAAATTGACAAATGGTATTTGCACGGTTAAAAAACTAAATTACATAGAAAATCCAAGCAGAGACAAAATAAAGGCGAAAGAAAACATAAAGGCTAAATAGTTTAATATTTTAATCTTTCTAACTGCTTATATTATCACATTCAATGCGTCAACAAAATTCATTCATTTTCGTGAGATTTTGATGACACCATACTTTTATTTTGTTGTTATTCTATATAATTAATATTTTTCAACAAAAGTTGCCAGTAATCAGATGGCTAACTGTTACACACAAAAATACTGATGTAACTATCAAAAAGAGATGAATCGATGATCAGTCAAATAAATAAATAAATAAATAAATAAATTCTAAGTCAAAATAAGCTTCCAAGTTACATGATCTAAAGAAAAGAACACAAAAAACTTCATATATATACATGCTTACCTTCTTGTGCCAAACAGAGGAGCAAAAAAGACAAAATTTGGAACCAAACCATTCTGTGTAAACAAGACGACAATGATGCATATACCAATACGCCCCAAAGACACTTTTGTACAAAACTGCATTTCTTTGAAAGGAGAGGTTTTATTTATATAACAGGATATGACATTAGGGTGACCAATTGCAGCACTCACATTACATACGACATATTATTATTCACGTGATATCCATTTAATCGTAAGAACATGTAATTTGCTGATTTTCAGACAGATATATGCATGTACTGTTGGGATTACGCTCTGCGTTTTTTTCCTTTAATGATAGGAAACACGACGTGCTGAATTAGCCAAAATATATGTACGCAAGTACATGCGCCCATCAAGAGAACGGAAAACGAATTTCAAACAAAAGCTATCTGTATACACAATAAGCATCATTTGGTATCGTTTCTCCCTTAATTCTAAACAAAACTAGACTACAAAACTTAAATTCAATATTTTTATTAGTGTGGTTGACTCTAGAATAAACAATAGAATAATATTAATTTCATTATACTTATCAAATTTCCCCTTTGACTATAAAGGTACTAATATATATATATATATATATATATATATATATATATATATATATATATATATATATATATATATATATATATATATATATACTGTAAATGAGTGAATCGGCGCCGTTCAGGTTAACAAAAGAGAGTCGTCGGAGCACAAACTCTGTGCCTTGGGTATTTATTGTCGGATTTCTCCTGGTGTCAAGGAATGACTTAGCCCGTATGCCACAAGTTTAAAGAGGTTCTACCAGTCCATTCTGGACACTTCTTTGGTAATTTATAGACGATATGTGGCATTTCTCTACATACCGGATACTCATGGTGACTACTTATTTTGTGCAGTAATGGTACCCAGTATGTAAACCGTCAGCTCTTTATGTTATCTCACCAGTGTGAATATCGGGTGGTCTCAAGAGGGGAATTGCTTTGAGATCTGCAGGCTAAAACAAAATCTGGCCGACAGGTTTTCCAGATAAACAACTACAAAATTACGACACTCACAAATTAAATTCGGTGGTGGCGGAACTGCGACATTATGAATCCAGGGCGGATCCAGGATTATTTGAAAGGGGATCCGTATTTTAGAAATGACAGGCCTCGGATGCGAAGCCGACCCTCCCCCCCCCCCCCCCCTGGTGTGGGGTTCGGGGCCCGCTGATGGGCCTTGAAAAATAGGTGTGTTGTTGGGTGGACGGTGCCCTTTGGTATGGTTTAGAACTACGATCCAGCTAGTCAAAATTCTAATCTCAAGAAGGGACTATTGGTGTGAGACCCCCCTGAAACACCCACCCCCTAAACCCGCCACTGTACAATCGCCATAGGGAGCTTCCACTTTTGTCCAGATGACGCCAATCCAGGTGCAGAAAGTGTCTTGGGGTAGCTGAAGTGAATACTATTTATGGTAACCTGTTCAGACGCTGCAGAAAGTAATTGTGGAGGTACAGGTCGGTTTATTGACCAGCGTTCATATCATGTTCTGTTTGTCGATGAAATGACAATACTGGTTATGACCACAAGAGATTTTGATAGACATGTTCGAGGAAGGGATGGGCACAGACGGCTGTTGCAACTGTTATACTTCAAAAGTATTTTATTGTACGTAATTAAGAAGATAGTATTATACTGTTGAAATGACCGTCAAGGAGAAGCGCAAAACAAGTCTGTCGAGTAATATACAGCCGTGAAATTCCAAAAACAGTGAGCGGTTTGTGCAGACAGTAATTTCGCATGTATAAATCAGATTCTCTCCTCAAGATGGTAGCAATCATTAAGGGTAATGAAGTGAACTGACCACGAATCCGGTTTGTTAATGGGACTCGCAGTAAGTATGAGAAAAACTGTGTAAATCTGTGCTCATGATATTCATCGACGTTTAAGAGGACAGGAATTACTTTTGTTTGATTGCATTTAATTAGATGAACAGATGGCTTTTGCTCCGTGGTCATTTTCACTGAGTGATCTCTTAAAGAAAATGCAGTGTTCTTATGCAAGAAGAGATACGCGATGATGCCCGCTGTTTCACTTTCCTGTTACAACGGATTATCGCGTTAGGTCCATGGAACCAATTTCTTTAAAACAACGCTTCCAGATGTGTGCCATTCATTGATTTCTTAAAACAGCATCCATAACCAGGATTGACGTGTCTGCTTTATATTGGAATACCTGTCCATTTATTTCTTGAAAGAAGAGGAGAAATTCAGTGTTGATTAAGCCTATCATGGCTCGCTTTCTTGTCATCGTTGTCGTGGAACTGTAAAGACATTTTAGGATCGCCAAGAACTAAGTTTCTTTCTCAGATCCAACATTCTCGGTATCAACTGTATGGCAAGTCACAATGCAATGGAAATGGAAAACATTTCTCCAACCCATCAGAGCAGGATTTCTTCATATAACGGGACTGAATAGGTATCATTGAGACAGAATATAAAAATTTCTTTCTCTAGGAAAAGGACATACTAACGAAGTGTTGGATGCATAGAAGGGGACATTTGAGTGCCATATTTGCCTCTAGGTTCAGAGGTGGGATAATTTGATGTCAAACATCGTGTAAATCCATACTTCATTTGTTATTACGCGAAGCTCACACGGTTTTTGTAGAAAGCACGTGCTTTCAGTTGACCCTGAGAGTGTTGAAGTCGGGGCAGGCTATTAGTTTTGAGTTACGTTCTAGAAATGTTACATCTTAACACAAGCACTGTGCCAAAACAAACACACTCTGTACTGGTTTTTGCTCTTTGAACAAACTGAACTATTTTGAATGACATACGCATAGTCGTCTACTTTGAAGAATCCAGGAGGGCAAGTGTATGGCGATCATGTTCATTACGACAATGAACAGATAAGAAAGTATGCTATGTGGAAAAAATTAAGAAAGGCCCTTTTTGAGGAGCTTTAGAGTGAAAACAGCAGCAGGAACTGAACGACTTGCAAAACGAGAGCGCAAGGTTTAATTACGTTTTGTAACAATTCGACTTGAAAAGAGATCCAATGTAGCTATATACACTAGTATATAAGTAGGCAAGCTGGTGTGACCGGCACCAAGGACTTTGAAACGTTGAAGTTGGTTTATATAAGGTGAAGTTACTTAACCATTTCAGTCTAAATAGTTAATAGCGTAATATCTAACCGGCAAGTGCCCTTCTCCACAACCATCTGTCGTAACAACACCGGGAATAGATGCGAGTCATCATTGAATCTGTTCAAAACAATTGGTTTCATTCTTGAATTCTTGCATAATCAGACTGATTGATTCCAAGCCAATCTGGCAGCGGTCATATGGCCAGAGGTTTGATCAAATTGGCCAGGACTGACCGCGCGGTGCTTGAGGTGCAGAGAGTGCATCTGGTAACTGCTGTCCTTCTCGGTTTGATTTAAATAACTGAATTGCGGTTGTAATCAGGTTTTCACACACAGGCACATTGCAAACATTTCACGTCGAAGCAGCAATTGCTGAAACGTCCCTCAGTGAGTAGTTTCTAAATGTAGAAATGCGGGTGTCAGACGTGCACGCATAGTCGTGATCTTGATTTTAAATTACGTATATTTTATGTTATACAATTTACAAGCTTAAATCAGATATGGATTCATGAACAACATGAGGAAGTGTTGTCAAAATATCACCTTGCCGATGTAATTTTAGTTAATATATTGAAACTGGTGTATGTTAACATTTTACATGATCGGTCGATTGTACCGGCGGTATATAGACTAAGTTTCAATTATTAAGGTGCGATTCCTTTACCATTACGCACCTGTCCTGTAGTAGATATTGTAGGTCGAAGCATTTTGTGAACTGGACATTTTGTTATGAATCATGGCGTCCTTGTACCCAGACGTCAACACCACGACCTTGGTGACAGACAGCGATATTCTTATATTTTCGTTATTGCACAATAACAGTGAGAAGAACATCTCAATCAATAACTCCAGCAATGAAGATGAGACTGTTGACGCCAATCCTCTGTTTCAAGTTCTTGCGGTCGTATTTTACACGTTTTGCGCAATCAGTCTTATTGCAAATGGCGTCTCCCTGAGCGCTTTGGCCTGCGCACCAAAGCCTTTCAAACCAAAGTTGATTCTAATAATGAATTTAGCCATTACTGATCTTGTTAGTTTGTTCTTCGTGTTGATCATTGATGTTTTACATACTCTTGGTTTACAATTGTGTGATAGTTTAATCAACACGTTTTTCTTGACTTTCTTCGAGATTTCTGGGCTAACAGTTCTGGTCCTGGCTTTGGACATGTTTGTTGCCGTATGCATACCCTTGAAGTATCCGTTGTCTATAACAAGGAAAAGGGCGTGCGTTATAGTTGCCTGTATTTGGGGAGTGGCAATTGGCAAGGGGCTAACCGCCCTTCTCATTGGCATGGCTGTTCATGGGATGGGAACCTTCTGTTTGCTTGGCTTTCCCACAGCCTTGATTTACATCAACGGCGGAATATATGCAAGCATTTTGTTAATTTCCCTAGGCCTCTATGTTAAAATCTTTATTGAGATAAAAAGGCACCGGCACGTAGGAACCCGGGTTAATTCCAGAAAAGAATTTAAATCGGCGGTCACTCTGGTGATGCTTTATGGCACGTTGCTGGTCAGTTGGGGACCATGGGTCATCGCAGTGGCTTTGGTCAAATTTGTTAAAATGACCAACTGCGATGCACGATGCAAAGATGTTCTTGTCCATACGGCAATATGTATGATACTGGCGACTACGTTGGCGGATCCAATTATCTACGGGATTCGAATGCCGGATATACAGAAAGGGTTTTTCCGTTTGATGGGTAAGCGTTCCCGTGCACAGAGGGCAGGTAGTTCACTCCCCACAATGTCCGGGTTAAACCAAACTGACCGCATCAACTATGTACCTTAAGGGACCATTCCCAGACCTTGGCGTACTAACTTCAGATCGATCTATCTCCGAGGGGATTCTAGCCAAATTGCAATCAACTTAAGCAGCTTAAGGGGGTAATTATAAATCTTCAGTCAGCGTACCAGACATCTAAGCTGCTTAAGCTGAAAGCAATTTAGCGAGAAACTTCTCGGAGATGGATTGATCCTGTCAGATCTAGGTATAGGAACCCAGTTTAATTTTAACGTTATAGGTACCACTTTAGCCTTGCTGTAAGCTGTAGGTGCAATATGTCTTCATTGTACAGACCTCTTTCCTTTAAACGAATTGCAAAATATAATGTTACTGTATAACTCTGGATATTGGTCCAAAATCCTATCAGGACCTATATATATATATATATATATATATATATATATATATATATATATATATATATATATAGGACATGTTCTAGATAGGAACTCTATAGAATGCCTATATAGTTCCAATTAGTTCTTTAGGAATCGTAATGGAAATATTTATAAGGGCATACAGTGGTCACCTTGAAATCGAGAAGAACCGTTCTACTCCTAGATAATTCAACATTGACATATATTTCTGCAGGTATAAATGAATCTGTAACTGGTGTAATATGCTATTTTTAAGAGAAGTTGACTGCACTCTACCAGGGTACGTCACAGAGGATTTTGCACGATTCATCTGTACGAATTGTTGAGAACATTCGTGCCCCCACCTCGTGTAGAGAGACAGTTGGGGTGTGTGGTGCTGGTAATGGTACTTTTCTGTACAGGAAAAATTCTCATTTTTTCGACCCGATACTTCTGATTAACCCTTATTTGTGCTTACTGGTATCATATGGGGCCCTTAACTTCCATTCCTAGGAATGTCATTCCTGCTACACCGGCACAGTGGCACGTTTGTCAACAGGCAACGCACGATAAGAGAGACAAATAGTACGAGTAATTTTATTAATTAAGAGATTAGCTAACAGATATCACTGCGGTTAGTGCAGAGATAGACATCTTACATTTTAATTGAAAACTGATATGTTTAGAAAGTTTGTGAAAAACCAATAGTATTATAATAAAATGCAAGAAATGTTTATATCACATTCATAACACAATACACAATGTTTAATATAAAATTCTGCTTTGGAAAATCTTCATTAAGATGTAATGATTACATTTTTGTTTTATATTTTACTTATAAACATATTTGTAGTTCATTTTCACATCTGGACTTGAAGGCCTGCAATACTGAATAAATCAACCTAAATGTTACTGAAGAAAATCAAAGATAAGTTGCTTTGTAAGATCCTTGTACAAAGTCACATCAGCATCCTGCATTAAATTTACTCTTCATTAAAAAACAAAACTAACAAATGAAATCTGACCATATATATGTTCCACATTAATTACGGTAAGAAAAAGGCAGTTCTAGTGACAAAATGGACACCCAAAGAATGCATTATTTAAAGGCGTTAATAAGACACAGAACCATGTATACCAACGGCATTTTTGCATAATTAAAATGATAAAAAATCAAATTTAATTTCACTATAATAAAAGAACAATTGAAGGGGGGGTGAAAAGGAAGGTGGGTGCATACCTGGTGTCTGTTCATAAATACCCAAAGGTGTAAAACACATTTTAACTAGAAATTAATCCTTATTTTAGCATCCTTTATTATGTTACCCATTCCGTTTATATAAGTATTTCAATTTCACAAAAGTGCAATCACAAAAACATCACATTTTGAAATAGAGACATTACATAAATGGCTTCAAATTGTTCCAAGTTAAGCTAAATAAGGAAAAATACTTTAAAAAATATTTTCTATATTTTATATTAACTTAATTTGGTCCATTTTTTATCAGGTTTAGCCTCCAGACTAACCTGAATTCACAAGAAAGAATGTTGTCCCTTACAAATAAAAATAACAAGTGCGTAGTTTCTGATAATACAGCACAGATAAACAAAATGAAATACAAAGTATGAATCACTGTGTTATATATCACAAATCCTCTTTTAATCTTAACAAAGTACAAGAAATGATATTTTTTTCTGAAAGCAAAAATTCTAAAAAGTAAGCCAGGCTAAAAAAAAAAAATCAGAAAATTATAAATCTTGAAATTATACAAAATCAATATGAGGAGACATATACAAAATCTATATATTATTACTACAGACAACTACACATACTGCAATATGTTTCTGCTGCTGCAAATCATAGAAATATGTATGGCAATTAAATCCATAACTTAGTTTTTATTTAAATTTTGTGCAAAAATGCAATCATCTCACAAGTTGTGACTCGGGGGATCAGCCACGCCCTCCAATATCTGGTAAAACATACCTTGCAAATAAGTTTAAAAGTATTTTTGATATCAACAGCTGTTACGTAGATTTTCAAAAAGACTCATAGAAAATTAAATCAGACAGCAAGGCTGACTGATATACAGACACATTAAACCAAAACCAACGAGAGAACTTCCAAGAAATCTAGGCAAAGATCAGGTTCATAATTAAAAAAAAATTAATGAGACTGAAAATTCTCACATCAACAAATGAAATATTCTTACTTCTTATCAAGCCAATGCAAGCTCCTACAAAGTCATGATTATTCTTTAGGTTTTAGAGGTAATTCCATACATATTTTGGCATAAAATCCAATCTTCCTTTTAGAATTTGAACCCCTTTCAAACATAGAAAAAATACTAGCAGATGTAAAGAAAAAATGTGGTGTGACAGCTTAAGGGCGAGTGATACTGAAATACCTGCAAGACTGCCGGTTTTCAAACTGATCTGCATTTTTTTTTCACAGAGGACATGGAAACAATTTTTACTAAAACCTGGGGTTGCACATCACATGGGGTACTGGTTCTCTGACCAAATACAAATACATAGCACTGCAACTAAAAACATTTCATGCTCAAATCATGCTAATCAATTTTGTACATTTTTCACACAATGACACAATCTCAATTTATCTCATATATGTGACAGTGGGCGAGATTGATGACAACAGCACTAATTGTGTTAGAGAAGAGTATTTATCACAGAGAGATTGTGTTAGAGAAGAGGTTTTATCACAACAGGATTGATTGTGGTAGAGAAGACGGGTAGAATCTCATCAAGCTAGGATGGATTGTCAGGTGACATGGAGAACATATACTTATGTAAGGGTATATGCATGTGGAGAGAGAGTCAAATTCTAAATACAAAACAGTCCATATGAAAAAAAAGGAGAATTTGTAATTACTATTTTTTATCTGGACCTATATTTTTTGTGATACAAACATTTCAATTAAAATTTTTTAAAAATTGGCATCTATGGGGTCAACAGCACAAATATATTCAAACTTTCACAAAAAGTTAGACAACTTCTGCAAAAAGAATAATTTATGATACACTCACCCAATAACATTACATAATCCAAATGCCTCTTGTGAGATTAATGACATATTATACCAGTATGTATAAAAAATGTAACAAGTTTGATAAGGCTTTTTGAAAAAAAACCAAATAATATTGATTTTTCAGCTTATACTTCACTTCCACTATTTCGACAATACTCCTCAGGAAATTGAAAAATAAAGCAACAGCAAGACACAAGCAGACAAAAGTGATCTAGATATACACAGACACTCTGTGATGTCTGTATATCATCAAAAAATTTTCACAGGAAGTAAAAATTCCTTTTATTTCTGGCAGAGGCAATATCTTTTGTAGACTGCTTACACATGCCTTTGAACTCGTCTGCACAATTAAAACAGGCAGCACTCACACATGGCTTTTGCTCCATTGCAATTCTCACATAAACTTTCATCTAATTGCATTAATTCATTCAGAATCCTGCTAATTGTGAAAATACCCACACTTGCAAAATCTATGAAATCTCCAAACATAGTCAAAGAACTCTCCCAAAACATGTCCTTATCTCAGTGGCAACAATAACCCTAACTTGCTCCACGTAATCCACTTTGTGCGGTCCGCAGCCCATTAAAACAGGTACTTGTACAATGTAGGTGTTCTTTCTGCTGCTCACACAATGGTTCCTTTCACCCCAGACTCCTGACAGCTGCTGCCCTCTGCACTGCTTGTATCACTCACTGACACTGTGGGAACTTGCTGGAATCAAAAATTGATCCTTTTCTAAATATGTATATCCTTAGTAGGGGAGCCAAGGCAAAAAATTAGGGTGAAAAAAAAATTTAATGATATAAAATTTTCGAACACATGGGCGGAGAGCCTGATATCTGGGGTTTATGAATCTGCTTATTGGACAAATGGGCTCAATTGCGAAAGTGCCCAAAAATCCAAGATGGCCGCCACCCCTAAGGAATATGCAATAAATGGACAAATTATGAAAAGTTGTTGATATTTTCAGTTTGTTTCAGGTTAGATAACTTTATTGTCCATATATTGTGGAAATATGTACTATCTGGTGATCTGTAGCAGGAATTGGTCAATTGGATTCAAAATGTCCGCTCTATCCAAGATGGCGGCCAATATTTCAACATTTTTTGCAATTAAATCCTCTTTTCATTGATCTAGAATTTCTTTCAATCATGATATGAGCAAACATTTATCAAATATAGATTGCCACTACTTTTTCCTGCATTTGTACCATATATGTGTAATAAAGAGGCTTTGTGTATACAAAAAAATCCAATATGGCCGCCACACACCTCTTACCATTATGAGTCAAGGTACCATCTGTCTTTATAGAAAAGTTCAAATATCTACTTTAATGAAGCAAATGCTATTTCTATTTTACAAATTTTGGGTAAAGGGGAATTGCTTCAATATTTTAAAGTTAAATTCAAAGAGCTATCTCAATCCAAGATGGCTACTTTATCCAAGATGGCGGCCAAATTTTCACAAGTTTTTGCAATGAAGCCATGGTTTCTGTAATCTAGAACTACTTTCAATCATGGAAAAAGCTAAATTTTATCAAATATAGAATCTTTTCAATACTGTGTGCATTTTTGCTATCTGAATGCATAATTAAAGTTTGATTATTAGAGAAAAATCCAATATGGCTGCCATACACCCCTTACCAATATGAGTCAAAGGCGAAACATATATCATATCAAAAGTTGGTATATCTCATTTAATGAAGTACATTATCCTTTCATTTTAAAACATATGGGTAAAGTACACTTGTTTTAATTTTATAAAGGTTAATTATAGACTGCCTATTAATCCAATATGGCCACTCTATCCAAGATGGCAGCCAAAATTTGACCAATTTTGCAATTTAATTCCATTTCTTTACGTCAGAATTTCTTTCAATCTTCTAGAAGCAAAAATTCATCAAACATAGATACTCTACCCTAACTTCTGCATTTTTTTAACTTTATATATACAGAATGATGGCTTTATGCTTATAGAAACACCCAAAATGGCCACTATAAATCCCTTATCATTACCTTCATATGAATCAAAATCACGTATCTCATCAAAAGTTGAAACATCTCCTTTGTTGAAGTACATTTCATTTTTGTTTTACAATATATGTGTATATGAGAATTTTTTCACTTTTTGCAGATAAATTTAAGATGGCATGTTTATTCACAGTCAATTATTGACAAGTTTTTTTCACTTTCATGTGCATGTTCTTGGACCATTGTATTTTATAGCATAAGAACTATGTTGTCAAAGTACATGTCTAGAATGACATCATTATCTATTTATTTGTTTATCAAAAAGAAGCTCGAAGGTTTTGTACAATAATAATTCCGATTCCATGCCAATTTCACTTCATGGAATGAAAGGTAAACTCATATTTTATTGAAACTTCAAACAACATTCATTGAACTATGCAACAGATACTAGTTTCATTTATTACATTGGTGTTTTAGTTACCTCCGCCAAGTAGGTTATGTTTTCACTCGTTTGTTTGTCATCAACATAAAAAGTTATGGATGAATTTTGATGGAATTTTCAGGGTAGGTCAGAAATGGGTTAACTTAGAAGTGATTAGTTTTTGGTGGTGATCTGGATCAATGATAACCAATAATCAAAAATAAAAAAAAATTAAGTCATGGACCGATTTTGATGAAATTTTCAGGAACTGTCAGAAGTGGGCCAAGGAATTAACAGATGATTAGTTTTTGGTGGTGATTCGAATCAATCAATAAAAAAAAACTTAATCATTATAGAATGAAAATTTAGGGGTGAAACGACATTGGGTGGAGACTTTGCTGCCTTGGTGGAGGTCTGTGCTCTCGGAGTGCCTTTCTAGTTGCAATTTATTTTTGGGAATACAGATGGTGGCCACAACTATGCATTTTGCTATTTAGCAATTTATTATGTCCCACATTATTAAGTCTAGATTTTAGATCTAAATTTTATTTCTGCTAATTTGCAGAATATTGCAGCAAAATGGAAAGAAGGAATTGCAATTTGCAGCAGATTTGCAGCAATATTGCAGCAAATTTGCAACTGGCCTAATATTTTGGTAAGGGTAAAGCTTATAAAGTATAGAAATGAAGAGCATCCTCAGTTGGGAGGAGAGACCTAAGATCTGCTTTGCAAAAAGCAAATATGCAGGGCCTTTGGTCATATCTAAAGACCCCAAAATCCATATAGCTGTACAAAAATCATGCGCACCTCTTCCATAATACCATGTAACTGTAAGGTGGTGACATTCCCCTCCATGCTGGAAAAGGTTGCAAAATGCCAAGCATTTGCACTTCCCATGCTAATAAGAAGAGGTGATGAAACTGCACCCAGTAAGCTCATAAACTGTACTCAAATCACACCCATGTGGACCATAAGTGCTTCATGTAAGACAAATATCAATGTGTGAATTGGAAGAAACCTTCCAATTTTTGCAACCTGCAGTGACCTATGTGTATAGCTAGGTTCTGAGGAATAAACCCATGACCTCTTTACCCATATGCTTGATGAAATACCCAAGTACTAAATGCTCCAAGTCTCCAATCCACTGTAACACCATGTTTCCTCAGGAGGAATCTGAGATGTGTCGGATCCTTTAGTTTCCACTCTCCTTTGGGAAAAGAAAATCTGATCACCAAGCACAAAAAGATTTTTCACCCATGGGCAATGTACTGAAGGAACCATAACATAGGGTACTCGAGATGTATTATTTGGACACGTGGATCTTGTCCCTGTATCTACTATGCTAATTTGAGCTGGTGAAACCTGTGGCTAATTTGAGCTGGTGAAACCTGTGGAACATATTGCATCCTTCAAAGGCAGCAGGATGGTGGAGGATTCATAATGTTAAGAGATGGATACACACATGAGCACAGATTGTCCCTGGTTGTTATTCCATGACCCTTTTAACAGTGCTAGATACAGGGAAGAAGTATTGTTCAATGTAGTGTCCCTTCATATTCAGGCGTACATCCAATAGCAACTCATTTTTATGGACAAAAAAGGCTTCACCCTGCAGAGAACTACGAAACTGCTAACAAAACTGCTGGTTAGTTTGGTATGGCCAGCATCTTCCCCAAGCCTTTATCCAAAAAATAACTGTCAGGACAGCATCCAGAGGTGTGGAAACATGTTATAGTTGGAGAGAGCTTGTCAGGAATGATGGATCAACATTCCACAGCAAAAATATCAAACACAGGAGATGTTATGAAAAGTTACCATAGGCCTGTTTTTTTTTTTTTTTTTGGAAGTTTGTGATCCAAAAATTTCATACAAGAAAAAAATTCAATTAATTATTCCTTCATTAGATAGGTGCTTTATATTGAAAAAAAAAGTTCATAATTTTTCATATACCATGTGAAGGATAATTACCACATACTTTGAAATCTGTTTGTAATCCTGTTTTACCTCTGAAATCAAGTTTTAAAGGTCAATATATCATCTAAATAAGCCCAACTTAATATTAATTGTTAAGTTAAAAGTAATGTTCCATGGCAACATTATAGTAACATACGTGCCTGTCGTGTCCGACATTAAGATAAAGATATGAGGTCACATGATGTAACCTGTTGTGGTCCAACAGCTCTTGAGATTTGTGGCGGCCTCTTTGTATAATGCTCATGTGAAGAATTTAACTANAAGTTTGTGATCCAAAAAATTTCATACAAGAAAAAAATTCAATTAATTATTCCTTCATTAGATAGGTGCTTTATATTGAAAAAAAAAGTTCATAATTTTTCATATACCATGTGAAGGATAATTACCACATACTTTGAAATCTGTTTGTAATCCTGTTTTACCTCTGAAATCAAGTTTTAAAGGTCAATATATCATCTAAATAAGCCCAACTTAATATTAATTGTTAAGTTAAAAGTAATGTTCCATGGCAACATTATAGTAACATACGTGCCTGTCGTGTCCGACATTAAGATAAAGATATGAGGTCACATGATGTAACCTGTTGTGGTCCAACAGCTCTTGAGATTTGTGGCGGCCTCTTTGTATAATGCTCATGTGAAGAATTTAACTATACAATTATTAGCAATTAACGTTTAGATCCACATAAGATAAGAAATTGGTATATAAGCGATGAGAATTGATACCTTTGGGAGAGAAAGAAGAAGAGCAGAAGAGATTGGAAAAGACGGGACAGATGTGTTTTCAAGAAGTTAGGAGTTGGAGTTGGAGTTTAGAAACATCAACAAATAAATCGTTTAACTGGTCATTATGTGGACTTGGGTTTTCTTTGCGCGACCTTATGTAAATCTGACATGAACCATGGAATCTTTAGATTGCATTATCCACTAAGTTAGGCGAAATTGTAATTTCCTAATTCAAGCCCACACTTGAATTAAGCATCCTAAATTTTTAAAGTTTACGTCATTCACTCCATATATAAGGAAAAGTTCATTACATGCCATCTAGAATTGAATGTCATCGATAAAATATATATCACTGCCAACTGAAAAATATACTTCATTAAATAAGAGATTTCAACTATCAGTAAAGTACACATGGTACCATTGATTTATAATGGTAAGGGGTATCCATATACACCTTACCATTATAAATTAGAGAGAAATCCAATGAAAAAGGCCTAAACGTATTCTTTACAGATATTAAAACGTAGGAAATATTTAAGAGAATCTATATTTCTTGAAATATAGCTTTTACCATGGTTGAAATAATTTCTAGAGCATAGAACATGTGCCTCAGTTGAGAAAATTGGTAAAATAATGGCAGCCATCTTGGATAAAGAAGCCATATTGAAAAAAAGATATGGTCTTAGCTTTACCTTTAAAAATATACAATTGTCCTTTATCAATAAATTGCAAAAGAAACATGAAATATACTTCATTTAAGAAGATATTTGATCTTGCAAATAAGGTGCATGCTGTGGGCACCTTTAGGCCATAACAGTCGGGGTACATGGTGGCCATGTTGGATTTTCTTCTAATCATTAGGCTTTATACTGTACAGAGAGAGAAAAATACAGGTCATACTGTACATATTTTATATTTGATCTTGTGTTGCTTCTATCATGATTGAAAGTAATTCTAGATTAAATAAAACATGACTTAACTGCAAAAATTGGCAAAATTTTGGCCGCCATCTTGAATAAAGCAGCCATCTTGGGTCAAGACACCATCTCAAATTTACCTTTAAAATTTAAAACAATTGTCCTATACCTGCATATTGTAAAATAAAAATAAAATATACTTCATTTAATAAGGTATTTCAACTTTCAAAAAGATATACATTGTGCTTCTGACTCATAATGGTGAGGGGCATGTGGCGGCCATATTGGATTTTTCTCTTAATCAAAAAGCCTCCATAGTGCATGCAGACAACAGAAATGTGTGAAATATTATATAAAAACTATATTTGATGACAGTTTGCTTATATCACGATTAAAAGAAATTCTAGATTGAAGAAAACATGACTTAATTGAAAAAATAAGTGAAATATTGTCCGCCATCTTGGATGAAGCGGCCATTTTGAATCCAATTGACAAATTATTGCAACAGACTCCCAGGAAGTACATATTTCCACAATATATACACAATATAAGTAATCTACACTTCAGCAAAGAAATATTATTAATCACTTTTCATAATTGATGCTTATTCTGTGTATTCACCATGGCTGGCGGCCATCTTGGATTTTTGGGCACTTTCGCAATTGAGCCCATTTGTCCAATAAGCAGATTCATAAACCCCAGGTATCAGGCTCTCCAACGATATGTTCGAAAATTTTATATCATTAAATTTTTTTTACTACCCTTTTTTGAAGGCTTTTGGAGTTTGGCTCCCCTACTACCTGAACAAAATCTGCAGTGAAAATCATCACCATGACCGTTTCTTATTGCAAATGAAAAATAAACAAGCAGCATTTACATTTTGAAAAACATCTCTTTCAACTACTGAATCTAGAAAGCCTGACCCTGCGCACATATTAGATTTCACAAATAAGGTCAAAAATAGTCAGTCCAATAAAAACATTATAAAAGAGGTCTACTGCAGCAATTAATTTGCAAGCCCCTTAAAGATCACCCTTGCACCAAGAAAGAAACAAGGACAAAAAAGGTTCACCATATTCTCTGGTCCAACGTTATTTGGTACATGTTTCTCGATGCTGTCTTTATCTGCTCCCGTGGGTTCCTGCCTTTTCCTCGGTCTCCTCAAAGATAACTTGCGCTCATCAATCAAGGGGGAAGCCTTGGGCGAGAGGGAGCTTGGTTTGATCAAATATCTGTGAAGAGCAGAGAAATCTTTTAAATGACGTGAATTTCATGGTAACAAGATCAAAGTTTGTGTTCATTAGTATAATACTGTGTCATACATATGAATGTTGAGTGTGAAAAGACATAAGTGATGGTATAACTATATGTCAACTTAAGTTTATGCCACCAATGAGGGCAATGGCAGTTTTATTCCTCCCAAGTTTTCCAAGTTTCACACAAATATTTGCAACAGATGCATTTTTATTTTCAACAATACGTAAAAGTACATACTGAGAAATCAAAGCTCAGAGTTAACATTTCTGTAACACAGCATTCAGAACTGCATCATTTTGTGCTATGTTTTATCTCAAACCTCAGAAAATCAGATATCTTAACTGAATGCAAGTTATCTGACTTTCATCAAGAAATTCCTCAGCCAAAAAAAAAAAAAAAAAAAAAAAAAAACAGACTTACATTTTGAGCTGTGCATTAAACTTCAGCTAAATCTTTTCAAAGATCACACCACACTGTCTGGTTAATTTTGAATGCAGAACAGGCCACAATGATACTCATTCCCCACATGCAGATAAAGACAAATTGGCTTTACTCCCAAACTGGCTTTAATGATTACCAATGTTGAATCACAATTTAAGAGGGTTTGAAAAGTCAAAATGCTACTTAATTTCCCTTTTTTTGGTAAAGATTTTATGCCCAGNGAAAGACGGGACAGACGTGTTTTCAAGAAGTTAGGAGTTGGAGACTTAGAAACATCAACAAATAAATCGTTTAACTGGTCATTATGTGGACTTGGGTTTTCTTTGCGCGACCTTATGTAAACCTGACATGAACCATGGAATCTTTAGATTGCATTATCCACTAAGTTAGGCGAAATTGTAATTTCCTAATTCAAGCCCACACTTGAATTAAGCATCCTAAATTTTTAAAGTTTACGTCATTCACTCCATATATAAGGAAAAGTTCATTACATGCCATCTAGAATTGAATGTCATCTATAAAATATATATCACTGCCAACTGAAAAATATACTTCATTAAATAAGAGATTTCAACTATCAGTAAAGTACACATGGTACCATTGATTTATAATGGTAAGGGGTATCCATATACACCTTACCATTATAAATTAGAGAAAAATCCAATGAAAAAGGCCTAAACGTATTCTTTACAGATATTAAAACGTAGGAAATATTTAAGAGAATCTATATTTCTTGAAATATAGCTTTTACCATGGTTGAAATAATTTCTAGAGCATAGAACATATGCCTCAGTTGCAAAAATTGGTAAAATAATGGCAGCCATCTTGGATAAAGAAGCCATATTGAAAAAAAGATATGGTCTTAACTTTACCTTTAAAAATAAACAATTGTCCTTTATCAATAAATTGCAAAGGAAACATGAAATATACTTCATTTAAGAAGATATTTGATCTTGCAAATAAGGTGCATGCTGTGGGCACCTTTAGGCCATAACAGTCGGGGTACATGGTGGCCATGTTGGATTTTCTTCTAATCATTAAGCTTTATACTGTAGAGAGAGAGAAAAATACAGGTCATACTGTACATATTTTATATTTGATTTTGTGTTGCTTCTATCATGATTGAAAGTAATTCTAGATTAAATAAAACATGACTTAACTGCAAAAATTGGCAAAATTTTGGCCGCCATCTTGAATAAAGCAGCCATCTTGGGTCAAGACACCATCTCAAATTTACCTTTAAAATTTAAAACAATTGTCCTATACCTGCATATTGTAAAATAAAAATAAAATATACTTCATTTTATAAGGTATTTCAACTTTCAAAAAGATATACATTGTGCTTCTGACTCATAATGGTGAGGGGCATGTGGCGGCCATATTGGATTTTTCTCTTAATCAAAAAGCCTCCATAGTGCATGCAGACACCAGAAATGTGTGAAATATTATAGAAAAGCTATATTTGATGACAGTTTGCTTATATCACGATTAAAAGAAATTCTAGATTGAAGAAAACATGACTTAATTGAAAAAAATAGTGAAATATTGTCCGCCATCTTGGATGAAGCGGCCATTTTGAATCCAATTGACAAATTATTGCAACAGACTCCCAGGAAGTACATATTTCCACAATATATACACAATATAAGTAATCTACACTTCAGCAAAGAAATATTATTAAACACTTTTCATAATTGATGCTTATTCTGTGTATTCACCATGGCTGGCGGCCATCTTGGATTTTTGGGCACTTTCGCAATTGAGCCCATTTGTCCAATAAGCAGATTCATAAACCCCAGGTATCAGGCTCTCCAACGATATGTTCGAAAATTTTATATCAGTAAATTTTTTTTACTACCCTTTTTTGAAGGCTTTTGGAGTTTGGCTCCCCTACTATATGTTGGCTCTATGAGGTCAGCCTACTTAACAGTATGCCTCACACCATTGTCTCTCCACAAATCGGTTAAGGCCAAATTTCATGAACGTGTTTTACAAACAAAAAGGGATAAACACATATTTCACACAGAATAAAAAAATAAGAAATAAGAACACAAGATCCTTTAATCTCTCGCTCTTGTTCATTTGTACTTTGAGTCGTTACCTGATCAATTTCCTGCTGTAACCTCTTCTGTACATCCGGGTGATTTACCATGTGGATAAGGGACCATCTCAAAGTATTTGCTGTTGTGTCTGTTCCAGCCAAATACAAATCTACTATGATGCGGAATACGTTCCATTCTAAAAACGTAAAAAAAGGAGAGCTCAAAGTGATAAAAAAAAATTATAATAATAAGTAGATGATGATTACAATCAATAGACGGTGTTTACAATAAGAAGACGGTGATGAAAATTATCGACATTTTATCGGGCGATACGCTGTGAACCAAGCGTTTGAATGAGAGTTGTCAGGTCGGGATTAGCTCTGTATGTGAAATCGTCATGCCTGTGAAAATCTCTGGATCTAGTCTGTCTTGAGTGACCTTTATATAGAGGTCAATGAAGTCCCGGATGTCAGTTGGATCAAAAGACTGGCGATGTCGTTCTACCTCCTGTCTTACCAAACTATAGAATTTATCCAAGAGGGCGAACTTCTTCTTCTGAAATGAAAGTGTCCAAATTTTTGTTTAAATCGAAACGTATTGCTGTATATATACATATTGCAAAAAAAGAGTCTTTCATATAAACTGTGCGATTTTCCAAATACAATTTGTCCACGGGAGCAAATACATTTTTCACATAAAATATTTATCTTAATTTTGTAGGATTTGAAACGCGTTCTTTAGGTTTATGGCGCATATTTTGTCGCAAAAACTTAAAGTCAGCACTGTACCGCCAAATGGTCTGATTTCGAAATATATGAATTTATTCAGAATTTCTAAAAATTTAACAGCAAAATGAAATGAAGAAAACGTAAAGGTGAAAATTTTTTGAATAAGCACTAAGTAATAGGTCTTAAATATAAATAATTCTATTTTACCGGCAAGAAGAAGCGCACCAAGTTGGTAAATGACAATGGGCCTCCTTTGTTCATTCTCAAGGATTCCTCCAAAATTGGCAACATCGCTGGGGTTTCATCATAGTCATATCTGAAATCGTTTTAAGGATATTGTCACTTTTATAAAATAAAGATAATATATTATGGACTTCATCCGAGAAGGCATAGAAAGAGTACTGCGTGACGTCACACGATATTTTAAAACGAGAATCCACGAAAGGTGGGCCTTTTTCAGCAGATAAATTGAAACTCGCTATGCTGGCAGATTCGTTTAAAGAAGAAATTTTTAAATTAAAAAAGTGCTATTTCACGATTTGTTAATTTTTTTTTTAAAGTGACATGTAAAAATTGTTAAACAATAGATGTCAGTTTGGTAGAACGTAGGAGAAAATGGTCAGAAAGATAAACACATGACATTCTGTGAGCTTTTACACGGCAGTCGCCATCTCAGATCTCAGATGAAACCCATTGTTTCATGATTTAAATAAAAAATAGAATATACGCTAGTGCTTCACGCATACGGCGGTGCCATGTTAACGTTTGTCAACTGTTTTAGCATAGTACACAGTGGCAGATTTAGGGGGCTGTCGGGGGGGGCGACCCCCCCCCCCCCCTTTTCGATTTCTGACAAAAAATCACACCAATACTCCCCCTTGAGATTTGACTTTCGACTAGCTGAATTCTAGTTCTAAACCGTATGTGGCACCCTTTGCCCTCTAAAATACCAAATTTTTTGGGCCTTTCAGAGGGCGCCAAAACCCCACTACAAGGGGGTGGGGGCGAGGGTCGGCTTTGCAGCTGAGGCCTGTTGGGCCCCTCTTCATATAGTCCTGGATCTGCCCCTGGTAAAGAACTTCCTTTAGGAGTTGGCTGGTTAAATTATTTAACTTAAATTTCTGCACCGTACGGCAGTACATGTATATAAAGTATATACACATAGTCCGCAAATCACTTAAAACATCTTAAATATTTTTACTAGTTGCTAAGTGTAGCTATTCAGTTACCTAGCTCCAAACACTACGAAAGAAATAATGTTGTTGACAGCTTTCCCAACCCTATTCCTTGGTGAGAAAGCCTTTCCATTTTCATCTTCAATGCTTTGCACCAAGTATCTGGCCACATCCTGAATTTTTTCTTGTAAACTTTTTCTCCCAAGGCCGAAATCTCGAAGGGACGAGAGTGTGAATCTCCTCAGCTCCTTCCATGCGTGTCCGTTTTTAAATAAAACTCCAGCACCTGCAATTTACATCTACATAAAATATATCAAGGACCCGTAACTCGAAAGCATTGCGTACTGCGAATAGCGATAACGCATAGAGGCTTCAATGTATTAAATGGGGCGAGTATGGGCGAGTTATGGAATCGAGACGGTTGCGCTTGGTCGCAATGCGCGATGCTTTCAAGTCATGGGGCCAATTTACTCGGCGAGGCCTTCACACTGCACACTTAAGTTTGTTCCTATATGATTGTGAGAGCATGTACCAAAGTTGGATTTGGTGGATTGGTAGGGGTGACGAGCAAAACCAAACAATATCAGATTGTTTACTATAGCGTGTCCTACATATTATGCTAATAGGGACCTGGGTCCTTGTCTACTGGAATGCTTACATGCATAAAAAGAAATGTCTTTGATTACCGTCTTTTCCTACTATTTGTCTTAAAAAATATACCCAGGTAGGCCTATCACTGACTGTAGCTGCATTCTTCACGAAGGCCTCTTCTATCAACTCATAAGTCCCCAGCATTATCATGTGTTGTTCACCAAGTTTGATGTGCATGATATCTCCGTATGTATCATACCATGGAAGAAGATCTGTCGGTTGTCGTCTTTTACCGCTGATCATCAGCTGAGGGAGACATCCCACCACGGGGAAACATAATGGTCCGGGCGGCCAGTTCACCCGAGGATTGCTGGAAGACAGGATCCACAGACTTAACAACAACACTGCCGCGAATATCATAACTGTCGGCAAACCAATGGTAGCGAATAACTCAGAGAAACTCTGTACAACAACGTTGGTCATTTTGGATCCCACAAGAGCTATAACGGCGGTAGGGATATGCCGCTGTAAGCCCAAATGCATGTATCCTACCTGTACACGGAACAAGGTCAATACTTGACGCCTTTGTATATGTGCAATGTAAACGTGTTTACGTGCAGGTATTACTGCAGAGGCGTCAACCATGTTTTCTAACGTCACTGACATGAAGGGATGGCAAGATTTCACACGAAAGTTCAAGGAATAATTTATTAACCAAACTCAAAAGTACTTCGTCTGTCTCAACCCACCTACAGTCTTGAGAGCATGCATATATATTTCCATTTCTTTTATCAGAGACCAGCTAAGTTATAATAGTGCCATACATCAACTCTCGCTAGACAGCATAGTGTATAGAATTTACTGAAGACATCACATAACTGTTAATGTCTAGTGAAAATCTAACTGTACATGACTCTGGTTGAGGGCAGTAAACACACACACGTGACAGCTTTTACAGCTTCACTTGGCAAGGCCCTGCTCGACAATGGAATAGCACCGTGTTATTATTATTATTATTATTGTAGTTGTTGTTATTTTGTTAATATAAATTTGAAGGTACAGTTATAAATTCTAGCTGGCTACATACAAATTATATAGCACTAAAATCAATATTTGATTATATTTACAAAAACCCTGGTAAAACTTAAATGCAACAATATAGTCGATCTAATTACTAAATATTTGACAGTGCTCAGGGCACAAATGTCATTGAAGATCCCCCCCCCCCCCATTCAAGAGTTTTGGTTCTTTAAAGGTACATACGAACCGAGCGTAGATTCCCAGTAACACATGTAAACCACTTCTACTAGATTCTTATATGACTCAAATAAATTCGACATGCCAAGGGATAAACTGAATAGATCACTCGATCAGCCATAAAAGTCTTTTAGACTGCTCCTTTCTTAAAATTTTTGGTTGTAAATTTAACCTACTTTCGTGACCTACTTTCCTGCCCCATTGACATACAGCTTAGAATGCCAGCAGAAAAATCCGTTCAAACATCATTTTCGGGTAAAATTAAACAATGCCTTTTGGTAATTCTCTTAGTTATACTACTTGAAACTATATGCTGGCATTTGGTTGGTTTTTGTGACAAAAAATTGACTTTGTATGCATCTTTAAGTGCATGAGAAACTTCGATGCGTATGATAATATTCACTCTGTTTAGTTGACTGCTCCATTCTTAAAAACCATATCCATGCAATTTATTTACTTCAGTTTCAATATATGTACAGAAATTAGTCAATTTCAGGTGCATAGTATTTGATACAACCACCCCCATTGCTTATCTTAAGTTTTTAATTAGGGGAAGGAAAGGTGGAGGTACATTTTATGACAAAATATTCGATTATTGAAACAGAATCTTGACAACGTTGTCAAGCAGCCATGTGTCATCTCTACCACAATTATATTTTATGTGGACACAGGACTCTTAAGCATCCGTGATTGATGGTTAAGAAAATACAAAATAGCGGTGAAAATATCCACGTTTTATACCATTTATTAAACTATATAACATGTACCCCCTCAAAACCATCACGTTAAATTTGGTATCTGGAATAAAAAGCACTGTTTATAACAATGTACACCTGTGAGGTGATCATTTGTAAATAAAATCCCATGGAACTGGGTGTGAGACAATCTTTTTGACCAATGTTGTATATAGTAAGTGAGATGTGGGGGAAAATCCTGTATAAACTAGGAATCAGTTTATCGTTTCAATCCGTGTGTATATGTGCAACCGTGGCACGACAACAAATGTATTGTCATTAAAGTCTTTATTCCAACTGATCTTACTACATAGAATACAGTATTTCCTTCACGTCCGATCTCTGATGCATCTCTCCCAAATTACGCGCCAAAGTTTTTATAAAGTGTGACCCACACATGACCCAAGTGACACAAAAAGGGCTCTAACACCATTTATACGAATTCATTACGTCTATTTACATACTATAGTTACTTATACAAAGCTAGAATGTAGTATTACATATTATTATTAATATGAACAAGTGAATACCGTATTTCATTTAATTCTAGCGCCTAACTGCGCACACATTGTAATCGTGCGGGGTGAAAGTGATAGTGTTTACACCCTCCACTCCACTGGGCTGGTTCTCCCCCTTCGGTACCTTGAAGGTGAAATTCTGAAGCAACGAGGTTAAGAAAATGAATGATTCCATTTCAGCCAGACCCTTACCCAGGCAAATACGAGGCCCTGAAATACAAATAACCGACCACAATGAGAAAATGTACACTTAATTACATAAATAAATTTATCTATATTATGAAGATAAAGTAGGTCTTGGTTAATTTTTATTGGATTGCACTTAAGCAATTTTGATTTTCTTTACAGAGACAAGGTTTAGTTGTTTATATAGACATAGATAAGTAATGATTTCACTAATGTGCCACTGCATGGTAACATGAAGGACGAATATTTAGTAACGTACCTATGGAAAATGGTATCATTTTGTCCGACTTGATCACTTTACCATCGCCATCAAGCCATCTTTCTGGTTTGAAGTTGTAAGGATCCTCGAAGTTTTTCTTATCGTGAAGAACCCGGTACAAATCTCCCAGTATTATGGTGCCCTTGGGAATGGTGTATCCGGCCAAAGTTGTAGCTTCACTGGTGGCATGGGGACCACCCATGGGAACTGATGACATGGAATGAAAGATTTTTTCGTTCTTGAAAGGATTTATTTGAATGGATACAACGGCGTGACGTCATACAAGACTCGACAACTTGCGAGAATTCACGAGAGGTTGGGTAATATTTTACAGCGTGTAGGGTGGGACGCTTTGTCGCGGGAAGATCAGATTAGAAAGCAACTTATCAGTGACACCAAAGGTAAAATCGGTTCTGTTCTGCAATAGACTAATTCGACCGAACTACCCGTAAATAAATTATGCATGCTTCTATTCGTTGCCGTAACACCCTTTTTATACTCTTCTCCATAAGTTTGTTCAGACGAGAAGTACGTGTATTTCCACCCAGGAAACAGGACCAGAAATCGAACAAATTCTTTTCTTCTTTTAATTTTCCTTGTTTTTCCAATTTATTACTTACATGTACATGTCGTCCCAATCCAAGACGGTATTTAATTAACCAGACACTGATGTATCGCTATTTTTGTTAAATAAAGATTTTTTACTGGCAATTTAAATTTGAAATATGTAAAAAGTGCAAATAAGTCACTGACCAACAGTAGACATGCGAAAGACCTCCAAGATGGTTGCTTCAGTGAATGGCATCCTGGCCTTGTCCTCCATCTTGGCGACACGACCTTAACCTATGACCTTAGATAAAAAATATTTTACCAAACAAAGTATATTATATGGTTATCAAACACGTGCTTAAATTTAGTTACATTCTACGATTACTGACTTTGGCTAAGATCACCTCTTGGCTTGGTTCAAATTAGCGAAGCGGGGATAATTGACCGACGCCAAAGATCCACTATCCCAGCTGACGGGAAGTTAATACCAAGTACCAGCTTTGGTATGCGATTACGTATTTTAATTAGTGAAAATGATTAAATCACATTCAGAACTGCTTAATGAATTCCAGCTCATGTGGTGGCCATAGAGATCCAATATGAATGTGTTGGCTATGGGAGGTCAACCCACTTACAATTTGCCTCACGTGACTGCCTCTCGGCAAATTAGTAAACGCCAAAATTCATGAACATTTATTACAAACAAAGAGGCTTAATTAATTGAACACATCTTTCATTCAGAATAAAGATTCAAAGAAATAAGAACACAAGATCATCTAAGATTCTCGCTGTTGTTCATAAATACTGTGGGTCGTTACCTGATCAATTTCCTTCTGTACCCTCTTCTGTACATCCGGGTGATTTACGATATGAACCAGGGACCATCTCAAAGTATTAGCTGTTGTGTCGGTTCCAGCCGAATATAGATCAACTATGATGCGGAACACGTTCCATTCTGAAATTAATAACGCCAATAGAGAACTTAAAACAAAGATAATAATAATAATAATAATAATAATAATAATATTAATAATAAGTAGACGAAGATTACAATCAATGGGCGGTGAAAACAATCAGAAAATCATCGATATTTGATCGGGCGGTACGTTTTAAAAACAGTTGTCTGCTAAATCACATCAAGTCGGGATCAGATATGAACCAGGGACCATCTCAAAGTATTAGCTGTTGTGTCCGTTCCTGCCGAATATAGATCAATTATGATGCGGAACACGTTCCATTCTGAAATTAATAACGCCAATAATGAACTTTAAACAAATATAATAATAATAATAATAATAATAATAATAA